ACCGAAATATAAAGAATATTAGCGCCTGTCCTGGCTTGCAAACTACTGCATTTTGTTTCATCAACGGATTGTTTTATTATGTTAGATGCAAAAACTATTGAAACCTCAATCTTTAATATAAACGGAGACAGCTTACCGGGCCCGTTAATTATGGGGACTTTCGACTTTCTTTTTCGTGCTCTTGGTCGGATGTTTCTTTGTTTCGGTTTTTGCTAATTTTTCCCGCCTTTATTGACCAAACGAACGCCCTGCATCAAGTTTTCCTGTTGATAGTGTGCATAACGGAGGTAAAAATTTCGCGCGTCTTTTTTGAAAGTGGTGAATAGTTTTTGACTGTAAGTACCCACAAATGGCTGTAAGTACCGACAAATGGTTACATAGTAAATATCTACACTCTGATAAACTTGTTGGGATAACTAATAAAGCAACATCTTGAATTTCGTTATTTTATGCGTATGTATATGTCTCGTATTAAATTTCGCGATTTTTCCCAAATCGCGAAAATAGCGAAATATAATTCTCGCGAGATTAAAAAGGTAGTGTATGGCAAACATTGGCTACTTCGAACTCTCAATGCTTTTAAGAAAATCGTTTTCTTCTTATCCTTTTGATTAACATGTCAAACAGTGAAGCAAACCTTGTCCGATAACAGCAATTACACGATCTTGTGCTAAGCACAAGCCAATCAGAATTAGTCCGGCCAGTTGATTTGTCTGCGCGTATGCGTCTGTGTTAAAAAAGAGTCCGCGCAGTTAAGAGGCAGCGTGCAAGCAAGCGGGAAAAAAATAAAAAAGAGTGTATCGAACTAACTACTAACTGGTTTAACTACGAATAGAAGAATAGTGGTCATTTTGTTGTTGTGTGGATTTTATGGGCCGCGTGTTGATTCTGACCTTTTGCATACAGCTGACAGTTCTTAACCCCATTACGATGCAATTAAAGTCGGATGAGCATTATTTAGAAAGGAAAAACACATTGTACGATCTGCTGGTCTTGTTGCTATAATTAACTTTTTAAAACCAGCATTGAAGTCTGAAAACACATCATGGGCAGCAATTTCTCTTTTAACCCGGAAAAATTCGGACTAAACGAAAGGCATTGCCCTGCTCAAAACCTCAGCCTGTCGAAGGAAAAAGTAATTATAATTTCAGTTATAAGCATTCATCTCATCTCGACTGTCGCCGCCGTCTTCGGTAGCTAACTTGTGACTAGAGCGTTTCACAAATTTCATAGTCTTCGAACGGCTTCTAACGTTATTCTGGTAAGTTTGTCAACCGCGGACGGTTTACTGGCGATTCCTTTGACTTTCGGCCTCGTGCAAATGAGTCTTAGACTGTTAAACGGCTCTGATGCTGAGTATAGCTCCGGTCCTCTTGGAAAAATAACTTTCATCTCCAGCTTTTTTCGTCGTTTACTCGAAAATCCCGCTGAAATTCATTTCGGTTTTATGAACTAAATTTTAAGGTAAAGGAAGCTTTTGGGCAGTGATAATGAGCGTTCTATTCAGTACAATGTTTAAGTAAGAGAAAGATGAACTACAAAAATTTTCCAAGAACTTAAGACTGCAAGCAGTTTTTCAAAAAGAAGTGATGTTATTTACAAAAGAAGTGATGGTCGATCTAAGTTGATGTAGCTCTTATCCATATCAGCAAATACAGTGTGCCGAACACATAGTTAACACAAAATCTAATTATCGATTATCTTGCTTTTCCTAGAAAAGAAAAAAAATCTTAAATGAAAACGAATACCAAAAACTGTAAGGAAAAAAACGGTACTGATACACCTCCCCAGGATACAGTAAACAAAAATTATCTGCGGTAAACAAGCGAGGCACAAAATAGATACCAGTTCTCGACCGGGAAAAACTATCACATGAGATCTAGGTCAAATGAGCCAACCAGCCAGTCCAAGATTTCCTCCAAACCGTGAAATCATATGGCATCCAGAACGATACCTACCCGAATCCCGCGGGAAAAGAATTAAACACGACTCTAATAGTATGCGGTTTCCTAATTCCTCAAAGCGGAAATAAACACTTTTCCAGTTACGGTTTAAGGTAAGGCAAATTTTCAACATTTTTTTTTTGAGCTCAAAATCTATCAGCAGTAAGTTTAGGTCATGTAATATGCATATCTAGTCTTTTTTAAAATTATACCATCGAATTCAAGAAATAATCTGCACTAAAGTTGCTCGATTTACCGGAAGTTGAAAGAGAAATTTTAACTTCCGTTTCTATGGAACGTGACTGCGGGGGGCCAGCGGAAGAGAAATTTGACTCTCGTGCCTTTCCCGCGTGCTTCCATCCCAGAACAAAGATGGCTGCCGGTTCTGTCAACTGTGAGGCTGCTTTCCTCAATTTTAATGCCGAATTCGAGCGAAACGGGTAGGTATTTTCTCTTTTTTTTTGAGTTTTTTTGAAAGTAATATTTTTTTCAGAAGGCCCTTTAGCGTTTTCCTTTGATTATTTGTTTAGATTTGGGAAAACACCCGAAGGTCTCGC